CTTGATTGCGTTTGTTATCCTGGCACAATCAGCAAAGCCCTGGCCGACGAATATAAACAGTGGATAACCAAGGTATTTTGAGTCTCCTCAGGAACAAAGGAGATATAACCAGGGTATTTAAAAAAAAAGGCATTGCCCCCAGGGGTTGCTACTGGTTCTTTTGTCACATGGGAGTTTTTTTTGTTGGTGGATGATCAATAAAGTTATTTACACATCTGATGTTCTTATTGTGGAAAAAAAAGCAAAAAAAAATGAAAAGAGTAAAAGAAAATATAACCAGAAGATTAGATCTCCTCTGTTAAAAAAAGATATAAACAGGGGATTAGAATCTCCTCAGTTGAGGACTGACTCCAAGCTGGCTGTTCACAGCCAGTGTACTGTGTAATAACAAATAATGGGTGACTAGGTGACAGGATACCAGCCTCTGTACAGTTGTTATGGTTTCCCTTTTGTAAAAGTGCTATTAAGCAGTCAGAACTTTAGAAAACAGTGGTGGAAGCTCTAGTCTCATGATAAATGGCTTGACAGAATATGCTGAGAAGTTGTTTGACTAACCATTTTCATGTTACTAATCTACAAGAAGATTAAAGCTAACCATGATTAACATACCGCCATTTATAACATGTCCTCATTATCTCCTTAGTCATAGAGTCATGCAGCATAAAACAGGCCGTTTGGCCCAACTCATCCATGTTGACCAGGTTTCCTAAACTGAGCCAGTCCCATTTTCTTGAGATTGACCCATATCCCTCAAAACCTTTCCTATCCATGTATCTGTCTAGATGTTGTTAAAATGTTGTAATTGTACTCGCCTCTACCACTTCCTCTGGCAACTTGTTCTATATACACACCATCTCTATGTGAAACGTTTGCCTGTCAGGTCCCTTTTGAATCTTTCCCCTCTCACCTTAAACCTATGCTGTCCAGTATTAGATTCCCCTACCCTGGAGAAAAGACCTTGGCTATTAGCTTTATCTATGCTTCTCATGATTTTATAAAACTTTATAAGATCATCACTCAGCCTCCTTCATTCCAGGGAAAGAAGTCCCAGCCTATCCAGCCTCTCCTTAAAACTCAAACCTTCCAGTCTCAGTAACATCCTTGTAAACCTTTTTGCAACCTGTCCAGTTTAGTAACATATTTCCTATAGCAGGGCAACCAGAATCATAAACCTTGCTAATGTCTTGTACAGCTCTAACATGACATCCCAACTCCTGTACTCAATGCTCTGACCAGTGAATGCAAGCGTGCTAAACGCATTCTTCATCACCCTGTTTACCTGTGACACCACTTTCAAGGAGCTTTGTATTTGCACCCCAACTCTCTCTGTTTGAACATACTCCCCAAGGCCATACCAATAACTGTGTAAATCCTGCCCTGGTTTCTGTTGCCAAAATGCTACACCATATGCTTATCTGAATTAAACATCGTCTGCCATTCCTCAGTCCACTGGCCCAGTTGATCAAATTCACATTGTATTCTTTGATAACCTTCTTCACTGCCCACTGTACTCCTTTGATTGCTCCTGATTATCTCTGTCCTGCAGTAAAGCTACTTTCAGGGGACATATAGACTACTCTCACCAGTATCTTCTCCCTTATTATTTCTTCTCTCCACCCATATGGATTCTACATCTTCCCGCATAAGATCATTACTTGCTATTGTACTTATTCCACCTCATGCTAACAAAGGCACCCCAACCACCCATTCGTTCATGCCTGGCCCTCTGAAAAGTCATATTTCTGTTCCCAGCTTTGATTTCCAATTACTCATGTTTCTGTAATGGCTATAAGATCATACCCATTAACCTGTATTTATATTGTTAATTCTTTTATTTTGTTCTTGATACTATATGCATTTATGTGAAGAGCCATCACTTTTGCCTTTTTATCACTTTTTCCCCTTTGACCCTATTTACTGTTTATTTCATTGTTGTGTACTTTGTTCCTTCCTGACTACTCTGGGTAACATTACCCCGCAATACCAACACATCATTTTGCTTTGTAAGCCTATTTATCCCCTTTGTCTGCACACTGGTCCAGCTTGGTTCACATGAAGCCTATCCCATTGAAACAGCTCCCTCTACCCCAGTATTAGTGACAGTGCCCCATGAACTGAATGAAACAAATGCACCCACACCAATCTTTAAGCTAAGCTTTGAATTCCTTGACTTTATTTATCCTATGCCAATTTGTCCATGGCTAAGGTAGCAATCCAGAGAGTATTACCTGGAGGTTTTGCGTTTTCATTTAGTTCTGAACAGTTCAAATTCTTTCAGCAGGACCTCTTTTCTAGTCCTATTGATGTTGTTGCTACCAATGTAGATGACAACAGCTGCATTCCTCCCATCCATTCTAATTTCTTCTTCAGTCCTGAGGATGTATCCTTAACCCTGGCACCAGTCTTCGGGACTCCTGCTTATGGTTGCAGAGAGCGGAATTCATCCCCCTAATTGTGCCGAAACTTAGCACGACTGCATTCCTATTTTCGTCCCCCACTTGAATGACTCCCCGTACCATAATGCTATGGTTAGATTACTCATCCTCCCTACTGTCCATCCTCTCATTCACACAGCTTGCAGGAACCACTTAACTATTAGATATTTGCAGGGGCCGGGGCTTCTTGAATGCTACACCCTGGGTCACCATACCTGCTTCATCTTCAGTCATACCCTCCTGTCTCTGATTACAGAATAAATTTGAATTACCTCAGTTGAGGGCTGTGACCATCTCCTGGTATCTTTCCCCCTCCCTGATGTGACACAATGTCTGCAACACAGACTCCAGCCCCTCAGCTTGGAGGATCCAAGCATCCTTGAGCTGCGAACACTTACTACAAATATGTTTGCTCTGGATCACATTTGTGTCCATCAGCTCCCATATGTTACAGCAGCAATATATCACCATATTATATCTTACAATATATGCCACCACTTCCATATTTTATTTAATTATTTATTAATTACGCTAGTTTCCCTATTCTCTGTACTTTCATTGGTACTTTTTTCTCTTTTCAAGTATCAATCTTACAATAATACAATCTATTCTAAAATAAAGTGATAAAGAAGGACTAGAGACCTGAACACAAATTAAAGCCCTTACTTTACTTTAAAGAGTAGAAATACTCACCAATCCTACTCACTAATCAGCTGCTTTATCTGCACTCATGTCAATTGTGGTTCATTACACAACTGCTCCCTGGTCCCACTGTAGTTAGGTCTCTCTATCCTCCCCTTTTATTCTCCCCACTCACCTTTTACTCTGGAAACTTTACTTCTTGCAGTAAATCTTACATAAAGCATCTGTTTCCTCCTCTACACTGAAATCCCACTTTGAATCAAATTCCCAGATGTACTCACTTGGCCTCCTTCATTCAGGCCAAGTCAACCGCACACTGTTTCCTTACTGAAGCATCAGCAAAATGTAAAATCTGACATTTTACCATTCTAGAGAACCAGTGATTGGCTTGAACAAATCCACTCTTTGAGCCTGATGGAGAAGATGGTTCTGCAATTGAGAGTCTAGCTGCAACAGAAGCTATATCATTCATTGACAAAAAAATAATTGTGGAGCAAGTTATTGCACAAATGGGAAATATCAATTCACACTGATTCAATAATGATGCTCCCATTAGAATGTTGCAAAGTGCTCTAGTTATCAGCAGGGATTTCATCAGTGAAAAAGATAAAGTTTATCATTGCTAATAGCTCCAACACAGACAGTCAGAAGAAGAGACATACAGATAAATCTTTATTCGTGTTTGTTTTTTAAAAAAAAGCAATGGAACCTTGAAATCAAACAAAGCTTCTTTAATATAAATAATTGAGGGAGATTAAAGAAAGGAAGGAAACAGGTGGAGCGTAAGCTTTATAGGTCTTCCAGCCTCCTAACACTGATCTTTGAGAACTCATGTGCAAGTGATGGAAAAGGGAATGATTTAACTGATGGTGAGGGTAGAATACATGAATCCGGTAGTTATATCAACGTGAAGGTAGTTAGTGTAAATTAATGTATGTAGAATTGCTCATGGAGAATATGAAACAGAGACAGCATAAAATACTGAGAGATGGAGAATGAGATGGGGGTAAGGGCATCGGAGGACTGACAGAGGTAGGGAACGGGAAAGGAGTCACAGAGGGCAGCAGCCCACAAATGTATCTATTTTGCTCAGACCATCATTTAGAAGCAACTGGGGGTGACCTTGAGATAAAGCCCTATCTCTTCTTCTGATGCTGGCATTTTGGGATTGGAGGAGATTGTTGAGATTGGGGTTTGTTGGGTAGGGTGGAAGGAGAAGTGAAGTGTCAGTGCTCCCTACTACAAGATTATCACATTAGGCCAGAAAACTGGCAGAGGTCTAAATGGTTCATAGAAATGGTGACAGAACTGAAGAAGGCCATTCGGCCTGTTGTGTCCTTGCTAGCTCCCTGTGTAAACAACTTGGCTTGTTTTAACCCAAATCGCACCATGCAGTCAGATTATGCTTTTTTTATGTTATGGAGATGCAAGAATTTCTACCTCCAATCATTTCTGGTTGACAAGGAGTCAAGTATCATGGGCAGAGTTTGGTCACATACAGAAAAATGGAATTGAAACCACAATTGATCAAGTATTCTCTTACTGAAAGGCAGAGTGGGTTCATAGGGCACAATGTCACCCCCAGTTGCTTCTAAATGAGGGTCTGAGCAAAATAGATACATTTGTGGGCTGCTGCCGTCTGTGACTCCTTTCCCGTTCCCTACCTCTGTCAGTCCTCCGATGCCCTTACCCCCATCTCATTCTCCACCTCTCAGTATGCTGTCTCTGTTTCATATTCTCCATGAGCAATTCTACATACATTAATTTACACTAACTACCTTCACCTTCTGTTCCAAAGTCCTATGTTCCAATAAATTCAATTGGCAAATCTGCTGCTGGCAATCCAGCATATCATTTATTTTGATGATAACAGAAACCAGACACTCATTGACATTTCCACTTTCTGAAAAAGAGAATGATTACCTTGTCCAAATTTATTTGCTGCATGAATCTCATAAGCTTCTTTATAACCGAGCATCCTGCAGACCACATCAGCATCCTGCTTGTCCCATTTATCATCGCACACTGTTCCCCAGAGCTGGTCATAGAAAACCTCCACTCTGCCTTCATGAGGTCCTGATCCATTCACCAGTCTTATAACAGGTCCAATTTCTCCTAAGGAAAAGGTTGACAAACTGATTAATACCCAATCAAGATAAATAAGTCCACAGAGTAGCCAACAAAATATAGGTAGGATTTTTCATTTGGCAGGAATTGGTGAGGAACTGTGCCTGCCAGTTATAACAGACCAACAGGCTTTAATACTCCAAGGAAATTTGATTAGAAGTTTGGTCCTCTATCTCTCCCTGACTGGTTTAGCCACATATAGTACACAACCAACAATGCATTTGTCCCTTTTCTGCTTTTTCACTCCTGCCACCCACACGGCTTCATTTTATGATTGTTCAATGACATTGTCTCTCCTCCCTGCTAGAAGTGGTTCTTTGATCAATATTGTCAAAACACCTCCTATCCACCGCCGCACCCCCCCATTTCATCTGAATACCCTATAGCCAGAAATGTTGAGCTTCCAATTCTGCCATCCATCAACCAACAACTAGTCAGTATCCAGATATCAGACACCCAAGTGTCTATCCATGCTCTCAGTTTGTTTGTCTTATTCTTCAGACTTGATTTGGAACATTTCAAATATCTTTCCATTATTTACAAATTATTGCAAGGAATGAAGAAACCAAACAACAATGGACTATCAATTTAACATCAGTGCAGGAAATCTACTCAAATCTTTCCTTGGAGACAGATTGACTGTACACTTGGAGAAGTATGAGCTGGCAAAGATTCAGCATAAATCTGTGGTCTGACTAAACTATTTGTGGAGTTGCTAACACAAAAGATCCTTAGCCAAGATAAAAATGCACAGTCTTGGCGGTAACTTTGTAATGCAGATCAGTGTTGGTTGGGAGGTTGAATATATAGAGAAAACAGCTTTGTAGCTAATTACCCACAATAGATCTGTGGCTAAAGAATGTAGAGAATGAACTGAATGTTAGAGCATAGCACTGTTGGAAGTGAACGTTACCATGCAATTTTAATTATTACGGTGTGGTCTCCACAGCTATATCAGCAGTGTGTGAGCCACATCAGAGGCTGCCAGTGTGTTGCCAGTGTGTAAACATTTATAGGAATGGAACTGCAAGCTGCTGCACCTGAAAAAATACAGTGGAGATAATGGAGTGTAATTTTCAACAAAAGAAACCTGTTTTACAGCATATGATCAGAGTCACAGAATAGCTATGAAGGATAATGGGATTAACATTATCTGCATGCACATTGATGCAATGCTGATGTCAACATGTGACATGAAGAAATCATACTGGACTCAAAATGTTAATTCTGTTTCTTTCTCCACAGATGCCGTCAAACCCATTGAGTTTCTCCAGTATTCTCTGAGTTTGTTTAACATGATTATGAAATGGAGTGGTTGCTCTAACAGAGCCTTGAGAGACTGTGGGTACAAATCAAGCTGTAAATAGACTCAAACAAAGAAAGGACTTAAGCAGCAATACTTTGAGAGACTAAACAGAGTTAAACACCACATACATAACAAAACAGGCTACAGCACAGAAGTTGATCATTTGGCCCACTGCATCTGCACTGGTTCTTCAAAGGAATAATTTATCTTATGCCATTCACTGGTCTTCACCCAGAGTCCTGCACATTCTATCTTATCAGATAATAATTCAATTACCTATTAAATGTTTTAATTTAATGCACCTCCGCAATTCTCTCAGACATTCTCTGATGCAAATCTCTTACAACAAGAAAATATTTTTTCTCACATGTCCATTGCTACTTTTGCCAATTACCTTTGGGCCCTAGGGAATATCAATTGTCAAATGTAATTTTACGTTATGGAGCATTAAGGTAATTATGGTGTGCGAGTGCACACGGTGGGCTGAGTATTTGTGACCCCCACAGTGATGGAGCTGGAGGCAGAGGGAGTGCATGGAATTGGGCTAGAGCCTCATCGTTAACATCCTGTTTTTATCCATTTTTAGGAAAGCAGTATTGCAGGTAAGACCTGCATTTATTGCCCTCCCCTAATTAGCTATAAAAGGGTGGTGGTGAGCCAGCTTGCATGTTGTACCCTAGTCATCTGGGTTTTGTGAATCTGTCCACCATCTTCAACAGGTTGGCATGTGTAAAGGCTGGTCTGGGTTGAGGAAGTCAATAGAATTATTTTGAATTGTGCTTACACTTGGCTTGAGCAAATGGGTAAAGGGTAAGAGGATTTGTTTTGGTGTTGTTGCGGGATGAATGTTCCTCTTTGATTTATGCTAAGGGATTATATCTAGTAGAGTTGGCAAATATATATTGAATTGTGATATCTCTGAGAATGCAGTCCTGCCTTAGTACTGCACTGAAGTATTAGCCTAGGTTATATCTGAAGTCTATGAAGTGGATTTAACACACAAAACTTTGAAAGTGCTACAAACTGAATCATGTGACAATAGTGTCAAAGGTGTACTTGTTATCTTTCCAAAACAAAAATAGAGATTTCTGGAAAGTTCAACAGGTCTGGCAGCATCTGTGAAGAGAAATCAGAGTTAATGTTTCAGGTCCCGTGACCCTTCCTCAGAACTGATGGTAGCTGGGAAAATGTTGGTTTATTTGCAGAAGATGGGGCGGGGGAGGGGTAAGGAGTAAATGATAGGTGGGAATAGAGCCCAAAAAGAGGGAAGAACCGTTGGATAGACAAAGGAGTGGATAATCATCTGGCTGGGAGGGTGAATAGCTGTTAATGGGAATAAAAACCGAAAGAACTGCGGATGCTGTAAATCAGGAACAAAAACAAAGTTGCTGGAAAAGCTCAGCAGGGTCTGGCAGCATCTGTGAAGGAGAAAACAGAGTTAATGTTTCGGGTCCGGTGACCCTTCCTCAGAACATAGCTGTTAATGGGGGCTGTTAGCAACTAACAATAGGTAGTGTATAATGGCAGGCTATGTGGTAACAAGGCCTGATGTGTGGGGTAAGGGGCTAGGACATGGGAGAGTTCAGGCCCTAAAATTATTGAACTCGATATTGAGTCTGGAGGGCTGCAGGGTCCCCAAGTGAAAATGAGGTGTTGTTCTTCCAATTTGCACTGAGCTTCACTGGAACACTACAGCAAGCCTGAGACAGAGATATTTGCCAGGGAACAGGGTGCTGTGTTAAAGTGGCAGGCAATGCCAATTTTAGGGCCTGAACTGTCCCATGTCCCAGCCCCCTACCACACACACCAGGCCTTGTTATCATATAGCCTGCCATTTGCACACTACCCATTGTCAGCCACTAACAGTCTCCATTAATGGCTATTCACCCTCCGGAGTTAGATCGTTATCCACACCTTTGTCTGTACAACAGTTCTTCTCTCTCCATGGGCTGTATCCCCACCTATCATTTACTCCTTACCCCTCCCTCCACCCTATCTTCTTCATATAAACCTACATTTTCCTAGCTACCATCAGTTCTGAGGAAGGGTCACCGGACCCAAAATGTTGACTCTCATTTCTCTTCACAGATGCTGCCAGACCTGCTGAGCTTTTTCGGCAATCTCTATTTTTGTTTCTGATTTACAGCATCCACAGTTTTTTTATTTGTTATCTTTGCAAGCACGCCAAAGACATTGATGGAAGCATAGCCCGGGTTCCATTACTAATTGTGTAAATTTCAATCCAATTCCTCATATAGAGCTAAATGCCATTACTATTAGAGCTGAATATTAGACAAATGCTGTGTGATCCATACTCAATGTCCACATAAGAAGACCTAAATTGTAAATGTAATTATTTTCTATGTATGGGGGTTCCTAGCAGTGTTTTACAGCTTGTGATTTATGATTAACAGATGGTATTGTTACAAATACTTTCATTTACAAGTAAAAGAATACCTACAGGGCCCCTTTACATGATATCATAATGGAAAAATCCTCATGCTGCTTTACAAATCCACTAAAGTGGCATTTATTTTTATTCATTCACAGGATATGGGCTTTGCTGATTCGGCCAGCATTTGTTGCCTGCCCCTAGTTGCCTTTGAAAAGGTGATGGTGAGTTGTTCTTTTTGACTGCTACAGTACACATTGAATGGTATAACACACTGTGCTACTTGGAAAGAGTTCCAGGATTTTGACCAACAATAGAGATAATCAGCACGGATTTGTAACAGGGAGATCATGTCTGACAAATTTAATTGAGCTTTATGAAGAGATGACTCGATAAATAGATGAGGGTCGAGCCGTTGATATGATTTACATAGACTTCAGTAAGGTCATTGATTGAGGTGCACTAAATTATGAGTGGCATGGACAGGGTAGGTCGTGAGAATCTTTTCCCTATGGCAGTCATGTTTAAGACCAGAGGGCACATGTTTAAGGTGAGGAGTAAGTGCTTTAGAGGAGATCTGAGGAAACTTTTTCTCACGCAGAGGGTGGTAGAACATGCTGCCTGTGAGAGTGGAAACAGGTATTCTCGCAACATTTAAGAAGCGTCTGGATTTGCATTTAAAATGCCGGGGCATAATCAGCTGTGGACCAAGTGCAGATAAATGAGGTTTGTGTAGTTTAGACATGGTAGGCTGAAGGACCTGTTTCTATGCTCTATGACTCTAAGACTATAATAGCAAAGGAACAGCAATACATTTACCGCTTAGGGTGGTATTTAGTTTGGAGGGGAGTGTGCAGGTGGTTGACCATTATCCTTCTGTTGGGCAGAGGCCATGGCTTTGGGAGATGCTGTCAAAGAAGCTTGCTCAGTTGCTGAGGTGGCTCTTGTAGATTATGCAAGCATTACTGACACTTTTTGTTGCTGATGGAAGGAGAAAATGTTTAAACTGGCAAATGGGCTGACGATCAACTTCGCCCTGGGTGATATTAAAATTTTTTCACCATTAGTGGCTGCTTATATCCAGACAAGTGAAGTATATTTCATCAATCTCCTGACCTCTGTGTTGTAGATGGCAGATGTTTTGGGGAGTGAGGAGGGGAGTTACTCACTACAGAATTCCTAGCCACTGACCTGCTCTTGCAAGTGCTGTATTTTTATAGATGCCTTAGTTAAGTTCTTGGTCAATGTCAAACCCTAGGAAGTTGATAATGGTGGATTATGGAAATGAGATTGAATTTCAAAGGAAGATGGTTAGATTTTCTCTTGTTGGGAGTTGTCATTTCCTTGGGACTAGTGTGGTGTGCTCTTGAACTTTAAATTTAATTTAATTAATAAACCTTGAATTGAAATGTTGTCTCAGTGATAGTGACCATGATCTATTGTTCACTCATGCTTTTCAGGGAAGGACATCTCCGGTCCTTACCTGATCTGGCCTACATGTGACTCCAGACTCTCAGCAATATAACTGACTCTCAACAGCTCGCTGAAAAGTCCTAGCATACTACTCAGTTCTGGAGCAATTAGGGATGGGCGACAGATCTGGCATTGCCCATGGTATCCACATCCCAACAAAGAATAAATAGAAGACAAAACAGACTAAGATTGTTGGGACTAGAATAGAATAGCCTTTATTGTCACATACACTGAAATGAGTGCAGTGAAAAGTTTGTAATGTCGCCTTTTGGTGCCATCTGAGGTACAGAGGACCAAGGTACACATACTTTTAAGTATAGTTACAGAGTGAAAAGAATATAGTGTTGTTACAGAGCAAAAAAATATAGATTAGCATGGGAACAGTTGAAAAAGTCCAGAATGATAATAAGTATGTTCCAGTCTATGCCCGCCGACCCCAGACCATGAGACCATGCTGCCTCCTTGTGCCAGCCTCCATCCAGGACTTGCTCTATGCTGCTCTGGGAATCGCCCCATTTGCTCCACTCTGCCTAGGATATTACCCAGGGGAACTCCTGCAGCAACATCCCGGGGTCAGGTGATTGACCTCCAACAACTACAACCTGTGCTAGATATGATACCAACCAGTGGTCAATTTCCCCCTTTTCCCATTGATAAAAGTTTTGTTGGAAATCCTTGAACTTCACATTCTGTTAAAAGCTGCCTTGATGTCATGAACAGTCACTTTCGCCTCATGTACTGAGGTCTGCTCTTTTGTTCATTTGGGGACCTAGGCTGTAATGAGGTCCAGAGCTGGTGGAACTCAAACTGAGCATTAGTTAGCATATTATTTTTGAGCAAGTGTTTTTTGTTAACACTGTCGATGACCCTGTCCTACATTGTACTGATGATGTAGAGTGGATGGGACAATAATTGACCTACATTTTGTGAACAGGGCAATTTACCACAGTGCCACACATATACCAATACTTGTGAGCTGTAAGTGAACAGTTTGGCTAGGATATGGCTAGTCTGGAGCACAAGCATTTAGAACTATTTACAGAATGTTGTTTGGGTCCAGAGCCTTTGCAGTTTCCATTATGGATGTTCTATAAATACAAACAGAACATGGATTAACTATCGTCATTAAAAAAATGTCCAAAATGGAAGAATGATATAATTAAATCTTTAGGAAGAGTATAGAAATGCTTGTCCTTGTATAATATCTCTCAAGCAGGAAAACCACCAATCCCACCTCAAATATCTTAAAGCATTTCTTTATTTCATTTCAATATCCTGTGTCGCGCTTCCTTTAATAACTTTTCATCAGGTGTTGATCTTAAAAAGATTACAGGCAATAAGTTAAGGTGAAGTAATTATGTAATTGCTAGTTAGTGCTCAAAAATAGAGTACTGTACTCCAACAACATTTGTTGACCAAAAGGACAAGAAGAAAACACTACCATATCCAAACTTCCCACAGAGTCCTACTCCATCCTGATTTAATCAAATATCACTGTTTCTCCATCACTGTTGGATCAAGGTTCTGGAATTGACTGTGTAAACCATCACGTCAGCACCACTACCATAGGGGCTGGAGAGGTTTATGATCAAGGCCCACCATTACCTTCTCAGTGCAACAAGGAATGAAAAATAGTTAGAGATAACACAGTGTGGAGCTGGAGGGGCACAGTGGGCCAGGCAGCATCAGAGGAACAGGAAAGCTGACGTTTCGGGTTGGGATCCTTCTTCAGAAATCTGAAGAAGGGTCCCGACCTGAAACGTCAGCTTTCCTGCTCCTCTGATACTGCCTGGCCGGCTGTGTTCCTCCAGCTCCACACTGTGTTATCTCTGACTCCAGCATTGGCAGTTCTTACTATCTCACGGAAAATAAATAACCTTTCGGTATTGCTCATGTCCAGATTTGAAATAAGAAAGATGTAAAGAAAAATCTTCACATCTCAGTTTAGAAATAATGGAATTAATCCTCCTAATAAAATAAAAAAAGAAATTCCAGAACAGAAGAAAATAAATGCTAGCTCAGTTCATGATTTTGTGGCATCAGTAGCAGAGTAGCAGTTTCTATCGAGCTTACTAAAAAATCTTCTGTATCACCGCCAGCCCATCTGTAATTAGTAAATTAGAGAGGGCCATGTGAGAAAATCAATAGTGCAGACATGATGATCTGATTCTGTGATAACATTCTTTAATTATGTAGTGATACATACACATGTATGGATATGTAGTTTTAGGCAGTAACTCATATCATTACAATTTGTTCAGTAACAGAACCTTTCAGATGCAGATTGGCTTTAACAACAGTTATCTATGCACCCGCTAAAACGCTATCAAATGCTCCAGGTGATGATCCTTTGCTTTGAAGGATAAGCAAAAAACTCTATTCCAGCATATGTGATGGGCATTTGTTACCACAGCCCTTTTTCAAAAGAACAACTTTGTCACTCACCTCGATCACCTTTCTCCCCCTTTTCTCCTTTTCTTCCTCTCTCACCTCTACGACCTTTAAAATGAATCACAAAAATGCCCCACAAATATTAACATAGAAGACTGTCAATGTTGTAAACTGATTATGTACTTGTACTTCCAGTGCTATAGACAACAATCAAAACACATGCAAATGAAGAAAGAAAGATTTTTAAACTGCCACAGTGGTTAAGTTTCTTTTTCTTGGTTTGTATTTTGTTTGTACTTGTTTTGGCTTAAAATGAGGCTTTATTCTGAACTAATACTTATTGTAGAATTAGAGCTCAATGTATCCACAAAATGTGTTGAATATTGCCAGGAGTTGACTTGATTTAAAATGAGATAGTTATAAAAAACACAAAATATTTTATTTCATTTGAAAATAGCATTTAGTTTCACCAGTAGAATAGAAAGGGGGTGCACTTGTAGTTTCACGTGAGAATTCCAACCATAATAGGATAGGTTATAATTTTACAATACTGATATTTATAATATCGCTGTATTTTGGAACACGCTCTTTCAATTAGGATAAAATGGGAGACATGAGACCTCTACTAAAGCCTTCCTAACACCGGGCCTCACTGAGCAGGCTGCTAACTATCTAAAGAAAATGTAGAATGTTTTACTGGGAAGAAGCTGTAAGGTGTTTACACTTGGAGACAATGGCAGCAGCATCTGTATTTACAGCGATTAGACTATTCCTGTCCAAAGTACCAGGAAGGTGTTGAGAATGCCAGGTTACCAACAATTATATTTTAAACTGTGCATTTAATTCCAAAAATGGAATACAGTTGGGCCATAAAGAATAACTGATCAAGTTCCTAAGGGATCCCAGAAATTCAGACAAGTTAGTTTGCCAGGATATGTGAAAGAGAGACCTACCAGAGGCCAAAAGTCTCTCTGGTTTGCTGCAGTGGAATGTGGGTACAAGCTCACATTCAGATGAAAAGACTAAACTTGTCAGGATTTGAAAAGAGGTTAGAGAGAGAATTTCCAGGGTAAAAACCCACTGTAAAAGACAGCACGGAATTTTCTGCTGCCTTGAGCAGTATGAGCAAGGAACAGAGATTTGGGAAAATAAGGCAAGGATCAAAAGGTCAGATTCTTGATACAAGAAAAATATTCCAATCATTCCCTGAGGGTTAAATGTCAAGTGATTGAATCTTGCTAATGAGTGGCGACTACTTTATTTCTATGCATCTGCACCTCATTATTAGCTTATCTCGCCTCATTTCTATGCAGTTCCCAACTTTCCCTTCTGTCCCCAAGAAACTAGATGGTATAATTTTGAATATGAAATGCAGTGTGGTTACCTGGTGGTAGCAGCTCACCACTTGCTTCTCTGAGCTTTTGGTCAACTCTATCTTCACCGCCATCCCCTACCCAATCCATGAACACTATTCCCTTCCACCTTTCCACCATGAAAGTTGGCCAACTACCACATTGACCACACCGTCATCATGGCCACTTTGGACCAATTTACACATCTCATCAGCCCTTCAATTTGGAGCTCAGGGATACTTATGACTTGCATTTTTTTTGTGCAGGGACACACAGACATCTCACATTGGAGCAGGACTTACGCTCAGGATTGGTTTCTGTCAGGGTTACATCAGCTTATGAAAGACGATTGATGTGAGTTTTTAGTGGCCTGTCTCAGATATTGTGGGAGTTACCATGATGTGTACATACACTCACAAGTTCCTGCCTCTTTTCAAGGTCCTGAGGCCAGAATGGGATGGCTGATGACATCTTCACACAAGCCTCAGACTGGTGCTGATCAGAGATACAACTCTATCCAGGGCCAGAGTGGAACAGACCGCAGGCCTCCTCAAAAATAAGGGTTTCAATGCCAGGGCTGCTCCTGGGGCCTTGCAGTAAAGCCCAGAGAGAGGGCACCACAATATTGGAGTATGTTGTGCCCTTCATGACTGGAACCTAAAAAGGATACTTTATTATCCTGGATGCAGAGAAAATGTGGGATCAAATGCAATTCTGAGAATGAGGATCAGGACATTGACTGGATGGACATGCAGGAGACCGTGATACAGCAATGCATCATCGTGTGTGAGATGTCAGACAGAGCCTGCACTTTACAGGTCCTCCTCACTGTTCAGGAAAAGGCAGCAATCAGTGAGACACAGCAGTAATGTTACATTGTGACTTTAAATATGGATGACTTGTGCAGCACAGGCACTTCCACAGTTGCTGAAAATTTGGTTTAGTCTCATCAAGTTCATCATGTTAAATATCAAATAGAAATGAATCAGAACAGTAATGTATTAAGGTGGTCTACTAAGGACATGGAAAGCTAATAACATACCCCATGATCCCTTTTGTCCTTTGACAGAAGATCCAGGTAAGCCATGTTCTCCTGGATCTCCTTTGAGGCCTGGCATTCCAGGTGCTCCTGTCAAACCAGGTAAACCTAAAATGCAAAATTGCAGTGTTTGTTGAGTGCTGTATTTCTAGCATCACAAATAAAATAAGATAAAATAACAAGGAGGAATACAGAATACAAATTCCCACATTTTTAATATTGTAGTAAAGAAACTACAAAAGTGACGCAAAACAAATAAGTACAAATTTACTTCCCCACCCTCCTCCGCTAATCCTGCCTATCACCCCACCTCTCAATTATGCTAATGTACAACTTAAGAGTAAGTATGTCTGAGTGTTCTTTGCTTTGCCTACTTCAAACCCACCCCACAGAATCACAGAAATTTTACTACAAGTGACAATTTTTACCTAAGACTAGATGGCCCTATTGGAACATTTTATCTTACGTTTACACTTTTAAAAATTAAATTTAACTAATTACAAGAAATGGGCAAGTTACAATATGGGAAAATGCGAATATACAAATTAGGAGCAGAAGTAGGCCATTTGTTCCCGTGACCCTCTTGTACCATTTAATAAGATCATCGCTGATATATAATAATTTAAAAGCATATTTATGGAATAACTCTCATTTAACAAATTTACCATCAGGTTGTTTACTTGACATCTATTAAACATGTATCGACTGATTATAATATTTCCTTTATGTGGAGGCTTTTGTTGCCAGCATTTCCTTTGGAAATCCATTTATTGTCAATTATCATTAGAAGTGCCAAACAATCCTCCTTCTTTAATTATTTTATGGTATCAGTTAAGGAAAATTTCCTTTTGGAACTTCCATGATCTTTTCAGTTAATAAGAATTGGCCAGATCTTCTAAAGTAACTTCAGTCTTCAGTATCATAATTTATATTTTGCATAGGATTCTTTGTTGAACTCACCTCTTTTCCCAGCTACACCACTGAGTCCAGGAAGTCCATCCAATCCATCATCACCCTTTTCACCTTTTGGCCCAGGAGGCCCTAAAATATTGAATAGTCGGTAAAGCAATTGAACTACATTTAACCAACCTATGCAGGTAATTTTATTTCATTAGGGAATGCAGATTGTTTTGACCTGATAAGTTGTTTCAAAGATCACTGTACTTTGTCTTTTTGTTGTTTATTGAGTTCTTAGATTCTACAAATTACTAGAAGTTGCTGAAAATCATGTCCTAAGAAATGAAAATTCCTATTAAATATATATTGCATAGCTCTGTCGCACAAGCAAGACCACACATGCAGCCAACACATATCAAACTAAAAATAGAGATGGCAAAGTGTGGAGCTGGAGGAACACAGCAGGCCAGGCAGCATCAGAGGAACAGGAAAGCTGATGTTTCGGGTTGGGACCCTTCTTCAGAAGATTTCTTCAGAAGACCCAAAACGTCAGCTTTCCTGTTCCTCTGATGCTGCTTGGCCTG